TATTTCTATAGTTGTGTGTTCTTAAATCATTATTTGAGGGAGGAGGTTGATTTATGTCCTTTTGAATGTTATTGGCAACACAGTTTTGTAGTGATTCATTTTAAGTCTTTTATGAGCAAGTAGAGATATCGCTAATACATTTTTATATATTATTTGTTTACACACACATAGCTTTGAGTGTCCTCACAGAATTTTATTCCTAGCCCTTTGTCCTGGTTTCAGGTGGGACAGAGTTGACTTTCTTCACAGTGTCAGGTATGTTGCTGTGTTTTGGCTCTGGGAGAAAAACAACACTGATAACACATCGATGCTTTCATTGTTGCTGAGCTGTTCTGCACAGAGCCAAGGACGTTTCAGCTTCTTGTACTGTCCTGTCAGTGCAGGAGGATGAGGGGACACAAGGAGCTGGGGGGGGACAGAACCAGAACATATGAGCTAAACTGGCCAAAGGGATATTTCATACCATAAGACATAATTTGAAAAAACTTGGGGAGTTGGTTGGGGAGAGGGATGCTGCTCAAGGACTGGCTGTATGTCTATCAGCTGGTGGTGAGTAATTGCACAGTGCATATGTTGTTAAGTTGGTGTATATTATCATTTCTATTATTATTTTCATTTTCTCTCCCTTCTCTGTCTTAGTAGCTTTTATCTCAATCCATGAGTTCAACTTTGTGTTTTTTTTTTTCTTCCCAGTTCTCTTCCCCATCCCACTGGGATGGGGGAATGAGAGAATGACTTTGTGTTGCTATTCTTCCAAACATTCTTCCAAAGTTTTATGTAACTGTCCAGGCCATTCCATTATGCTGGATGCCTTTGTTCATAGCTGATTCTGTGTAATGCCTTTGCTTCCAGAATTCCTCCCATACTAAGCTGAGTGCCTGAAAGGTGTAATGGCCTTTCTTTCCACATATGCTTATCTTTTTCTACTGACAGTACTGACTCACGTTTTCAAGGAAGAATGAAAGTTGACAATGGAAAATTACTTGTATACAGCTAAATTTAATGGAAACTGAAATGAGATAGTAATATCATTCCACAGCACATAGCTACTCATGAAGACATAATCAAACTTCTTCAAGGCTTTCAACTATCCATCATCTACCATTCCAGTTTGAAGACTGACAAATATCATGGCAACTAACTGTTAGGTTTTGATTTTATGCTTTCAGTTAATTTAGTGTTCAGCTTAACTGAGATATTAGTGCTTCTGAAACAAAATATATATTCCTTAGCAAACAGAAGCAGTTTTTCTTGTGCTGCTCATCAGTTCTGGCTCAGAACATCTAGACAGTTTTGCTCAGTTGCAATTTGGTTGTACTTCTGCACTGTACTTTTGCACGATACTTGTTTTAATTCTGGATGTGAACAACTGATACGGTTAACCTGGGAAGAACAAGAACATTAATGTCAAGTATTGAGTAGCAAAGGTCTGTGCTTTCAGAGATAGGGAATATTGATTACTGTTTTAGGTTTGCATCAGATGTACAGTATATTGATTGGCTGGACCACAAAAAAATAAGTTCACCTGTCTTTTCATAGACTGACAAAAACAATAATGATTAGCAGAGTTTATAATTATGTTTCTTGAACATCATAACCCGATTAGTCTGCAGCAACAAACTCATTTAACTTAAATTGCAAATCAATTTACTCATTAGTTCTATTCAAATTGTACTCTCTTATGACTAAGACAGAACAATTTGTAATAGAATCACTTCTTCTAGCTGTCTTTTGGTCAGGTGAAAAATTAGTTGTATGATTAAAATCATCATATTCTTCTGTCTAGTTTTTGGTTTTTTTTTGTTTTTTGTTTTTTTTTGTTTTTTCTTTTTTTTGGTTAAACGAAATGTACTGGATGCCTACAGATTTTATGCAGAAAACAGATGCATTTAATTTCATCTTTCTTGTTAAATCTGATAGTCAAAAAATGATGCATTTAGTCAGACCATTCAGATGTGCCTTATAGAGACAGAGACAGAGACAGTACCAGTGAATAATTCATCCTATAACAGATATGGGAGACAGATGGCTTGATTAATTTTGGTGGTCCTTCCTTTTCTTTGCTGGCTAGAGAACACATCTTTGTTTTCAGACGTATAGCTACAAACTTTGGCTTGGAATGTATAATCATTGACGCTTTGCAAACCTTATACCACCAATCATAGGATGAGATAGACAATTAATTCAAACACCCTTTGAATTTTGGGGTAAGCTTATCTTTAGATATACTTCAGTTCATTTTTCCTGCAATGGCTTGAGATCCTGAATTGCAGCATAGTTAGAACATGACCATGTAAAAGTAGACTCATTGTGTTAACCTAGAACCTGCTAAGACATTAGTATAACTTTTTAACCTGAATTGATACGTGATTATCAGCATGTTTAAGTGTTAACTGGATCTGTTAGACTGAACATCACTGCTTCCTAATTGCACATCGTGTGTTGTCTCATCAACAGGCTGTTTGAGTGAATAGAAATAATGTTGCAAAAATGGTACTGCCTTTCTTTGAAAGGAGATGATGCAGAGTGGATTAAACCAGTTGACCTCTGTAAACTGGGCTCTTACTTTTGATGATATAAAAAACTCTGCAGCTGCAAGGCTGGAGGCCACCAGCATCCTTCAATTGAGAAATTCACGTCTCAGCATTTGTAGGGATGACAGCAAAAGAAGTAACATCTTTCTTGAGACCTATGGAGAAAGAACACAGCTCCTCCAAAAGTTCTTGTGAGACAGCCCAGACCAGTTACATCATTGATGGACATTGATGCTTCCCAGCCTCATGCAGCTGTATATTTAGGAGCTGCCATGTCAACACAACACTGCCTCTGGCAAGATTAGCAAGCCATGGAGATTTTTTTTTTTAAAGTATGTTGTACTCCAGAGCCAGCTAGACTCTAGGTTGGCCAAAACATTTAAGCTGGCTTTACTTCACACAAAACTTGGAACATCCAACTCTCACTAGAATTCATTGTAATGACTGTAGGAACTACAACCTCCAGGCTTCATCTGGTACTACACATACAACATGTACATTAAAAAAAAAAAAAACAACATATCAAATATGGCATCAGATGTCTCATAGTCATTTTACACATAATCTGAGATATTTTTGTTACATCTCACAGCCATAAACTTTGTCTGTATGTTAAGATTTAGTCTCAGTTCTTTCCACCACAAATTATTCCAGTGGGCAAAATTATAAATAGTTTCTGACTTTATTCAGTTCAGTGTTTATACAGTTGCTTTAAATACATACACATACATAGTATAAGCAAGACAGACTACTATTCTTCAATACAATTTCAAATTCTCTCTTAAAAATACACAGAAATATTGGAGTTCAGCATGGGAAAAGAGTAGCAGTTTGTTCTAAGAATGACTGTACCTTAACTAACATCTGCTGCTCATTTTTAGATGGAAATAGGATAAAGGATAAAGACATCTTATCACAGATATTACAAGTAGCAGCTTATTCTTTTCTCATTGAAAGTGGTGTTTCACATTTGTGATTCCTCCATAGAAGAATTCACAACACTTTTCTGTTTATTCTTTATTCTATAAAAAAAAAAAAAAAAAAAAAAAAACAAAACACCTAGCTATATGCTATCTTCCACTAAGGGTTGAAATCCTCCTTGGAGGTATGACCATTCTGAACTTAACCTGAAGGCAAAACAGCTTCAAGCCTCTCCGAGCTCAGGAACGTTTTAAGATCCTTTCTCTCACATATGGTATATAAAAATAATTTATCTTTTGTTTAATATTGGACACGTTTCTGCAGCAGTGGAAAGCTACACGTCTGGAACTTAAATTCCACAATTTCAGTTGTGTTTGTAGAAAAGCTGCCATTTCACCTCATAACACCTCAGAAGGTCCACTTGAATATGACAAAGAAGTGTATAGTTTCCATGTGTTGACAGTTGGCTCACTCTTGAAGTTTTTGGTCAGCCAAGCTCTCACTTATTTCATCTGAAGTTCTCTGGATGTTTTCTTTGCATAAGAGCTACAAGGACTAATGTTACTGAATGTATTCACAAAAAGTTACAGCTGCAAAAAATTTACTGTACTATTTCTCTTGAAATTATGCTATTTCTTCACATACTTAGGACAGTTTTCCATATGTGCCCTTGAATTTTCAGGGACAAATAATGTATATTTACACCCAATTACGTTGGTTTGTGGTTTATATAATTAAAATATCACAGTCATTAACTACATCTTAAACTATGTCTTAAAAGCATGAAAATGCAGTAAGTCCAAACTTACTGCGTTTGTACCACCACAGAAATTTACAACTCACAACTACACTTTATAGCACATTTCCCAAAACTCAGCTTGCTTTTCTGCATGTAGCTGTCATTCAAATGGCCTTAGACTTATCTCCTAAGCTTTACCTCTCTGCTCATGTTTCTAGCACCTAAAGATCCAGACTGAAGATGCAAAGCTTTTAGTTTTCATTAATCCAAGGGGAAAAAAAAAAAAAAAGTCTTGACGTACTGTACATTTGTGAAACTTATAGCTTTAGAAGAAATTAATGCTTCAAGCAATTAGTACAGTGGAATAACTTTAGCCTGCCCAGACTGACCTAAATGAAACTTTATTTCAATACTAGCTTGTTTCAATTTCATGGTTGATTCATGTTCAGTGGAAGTCCCCCAGTTTTATCAGATCTTCCACATCAACTCCTATTGCTGCTCAGGCACTTACAGAAGGTTTATCTTTGTTTGGGTCAGGGGCTGAAACTAGTAGACTGATTTGCTGGATCATGATCCAGAATCTGTAAAACACTTATCTGTTTTTTTTTTTTTTTTTTTTTTTTAGCAATGGCTCAACTTTATTCTTTCTTTACAGAAACCATAATAATACATTAAATATTTTAGGGAATTATATTTAAGAAGAAATGTTAAAACTGTGCTAGAACCATGTTGAAAATCAAAGTAGAATTTTTTCATAAGTTAATCATTTTGAAGTCTCACTGTCCAGTATCAGCAAAACTCCGTCTTTTGCTAAATATTTAGCAAAAATATAAAGCAATAGCATCTGAAAACAAGTTTTAAGTAAACCATATATCTTTCATCTTTTCAGCTGGTTGAAACAGAGAGGGCATTGGCTATTTTGTCTCGTCTGATACAAATCCTCCATTTTCTTTAGCACGTGACGAAATTGATTTAGAATCATCTCTTTCTTCTGTTTTCTCAACGTCCGTATTAGTTTTGACACAGTGTTTTATGTAAACACGGTAGCCTGGAAAATTAATATTAAATAAAAACATTATAACAATGACCTGAAAAACACTGCATTCCCATATAAGTATACAACACTTTATTACCTTATGTTGCTAAACTATTCAAATAGCTCAATACAATGTATTCAAAGTCAGGTTTAACTATTCTATGTCAGCAACTCTTATCACTAAAGAAATATGTTTAGAAAATAGTAGGAAAATGTTTAATATATATATATTTTATGCGCGACTGCTTTTTGTTCCTGTTAAAAGTACTGCCTATCTTTATTGGGAAGCCACCTTGGAAAGAACTGGGGATATAGCTCCCAGGTTGTGTCCCTGGGACAGTGCTCCAGATGCCTGGTAAGATGGCTCATTTGTGACTGGGAGCTAAAAACTCCCAGCTAGTTTTGGGGATGAACAAAAAGGATAAAATCTCAATCCTCAGTAGGTTACATGTGTATTTGTAGTGCAATGAGGTGTATATGGAAGTAAAAAGGGATCTTATAACAGGAGATTTCCTTTCTCATATTAGCTGTGAAGCTAATCTTTCTCTTGATGTATGTCAAGATGCATGTTTTTCAGGATGGTCGTGGTGTGAAACTGTAAGCTCAGGCACTTTGGAGTGGTAGAGGGCTCTAGAGGAAAACACATTTGCCTTTATTCAGGAAAGGGTAATAACAAATCTCTGCCCAAGGTATACTTCTGTAGTCAGTTGTAGGTGACAGAGATTGCTTCCCTTGTTCTGAAAAGTAAAGGGCCTTCCAAATCTTAAACTGATCCTTACATTGTCCCAGTTACATACAGGACACAGCACAGTGGTGATGAACAATGATAATTCGAGTCATTATTAAGTTAACTGTTTTCCATTTGATTAGTATTCTCTCTCAACTGTATGTTCCTGTTTTCTCCATATTGACAGAAAATGAGGCTGGTGATGATAGCAATAATAATAATGTTCTAACAGAAAATTTCTACTTTACCTGCTAAAATCATTAGTGCAAACAACAGCTGGAAAATGCTGTAGATGAGTGGGAAAGTAAACATCAGTTCAAGTTGTTCAGGGCTGAAGGAGAGCTGTACAATTGTTGAACATAGCTGAGTGTTTTGCATGCCTGTTTCCAGAGAGACCGTACGACATCTAAAAGGAATAACACAGTGACAACTGTGAAATAGCATCCTGTGCATTCCTCTTCTTTACTAGGTATCTGCAAAGTCAGGATCCACATAGATAAATGAAAAAATAGCATTGCTCAGCTTATAAATGATAGAATTTTTAGAACCAGAACACGTGTAATTTATGCCAATTAAGCAATTGCAGGGGAATATTATATGCTACAGTCAACACTACTGATTGTAGAATCATAGAATATCCCGAGTTGGAAGGGATCCACAAAGGTGATTAAGTTCAACTCCTGGCTCCACAAAGGACCACCCAAAATTCAAACCATACATGTGAAATGCTCCTTGAACTCTGTCAGCTTGGGGCTGCGACCACTACTCTGGGGAGCCTGTTCCAGTGCCCAGCCACCTTCTCATTAAAGAACCTTGACCTAGTATCCAATCTGAAGCTTTATTCTCCCTCTCTTTTGAAACAATACTCTAAATTGCAGGCTGCTGTTTTTTCATGAGAAGTTTTACTTGCTACATCCCATTTGTTTGTGAGGTCTATTCTGCTCACTTCCTTTGAAGTGCAAGACGTGGGCACACATGAGAAAGACAGGAGGAAATACTAGTCATAATCCATAGATAAAATTGTAAGCATTATAGATTTTATTTACATGCTGTAGAAACATGGATGGGGAATGAGTGACCTGTTGCAAAACAAATATTTAGGAAGCATTCTCAGCATTGATTATTCCTTAAATAAAAGCTTCCTTCATAGATGAAATAAGACTGTAAGTCTGTCAGAGAGAAATCTATACCTGCTCCAAGACAGACCAGCGAGACGAGCCAGAAAGAATCCCAAAGAATAGCCAGCTGCTGGAAATATGGTACCAATGATCCATAGCTTAGGTGTGATAATCCATGAGCCTTTGTAGAGTATTCCCCCAACCACAGCAATGATGACAATGAGAATTGCTCCCGCTATGGAACCAACCTGTGAGAAAAAAAAAAGAAAAAGAAAGATGGTGTGAATAAGAGACTTCAGTGAAATTTTGTGACATAAACACAAAGTCGAACACACCTTTGAATGTCTTTAACTGACCAGTGAAACATCTTATTGAATATAAAGCTAAATGTTTACTGCCATCTAATTCATGGGAATCACACAGATTAAATCACTCCTATTTTCCCAAAAATAGAGCTGTAAAATGTACTTCAAAGCGTGACTACAGACAGATCAAAGCTCAGCTAAAACTAAACATTAAAAATTTCAGAGCTGTAACATAGATGAGGAACAACTCAGATATTAGATTTTTTTCCAAAATTATTGGGAAAATAGTAGTCTAATAGCTAGAATAATGCACTTTTCCTTCCCACACTTTGAACAGTCACACTTTGGGGCTTAGCATAGTATATGCTAATTAGATGCTAGATTGTTGGCTCTAGGAAATTATTTGTCAAGTGAAGGAATAAATATTTATTGTGGCTGAAAATATTGTGTATGAGAACTGGCTGTGAGCTCATATGCATTTCTATATGGACATAGTCACTGAGTTAATCTTATTTTCTGTGGCTGAACATACTGAGATCCCCACTGCTTCTTGCCAAGGTAAAGGATAACACATTCTCTTGTAAATATTCAATTTATCTCAATATCTCAATTATGGTATATGTTGCAAGAGATCTCACCAGCAGATATCTATGGCTAAGTGAAGGAAAAATCCATTTCTCAGCTAAAAGGTGTATTCTCACTGAACTGGCTTCATCAATCTTTGACTGAATCTTTTTAAGGGCACTGAGTCAACAAGTGCTTTTGTTTGACTGAGAGATTAACCACATGCACCTAGGAAAAAGAAACACAGTCTAGCCATGACAAGCTATTTTGTTTCACATCGTCTTTTTGCTCTTATCTCCATTTCTCACTATCTGGACCTTAATCTGACAGCTACAGTTCGGTCTTCTCTTGATGCTTCATTGTCCAATATCGAGCAAACTGGCAGTAGAATCTACTGTGGGTTGCTCACCCACTCAGTATAAACGATGATAAAATTGTGTTTTGCTGAAAGAGTAAGTAGAGTATCTTGTCATGTGAGCTCAAGTCCATGACTTTCCCTTAACTGAGCATGCAGGAACAGCACTGTTTTGAAATCATCTCTCAATACTACTCATGTTCTTAAGTAAACCGTGGATACATTTAGAAACATAACAGGATAAATAAAAATTTCATGAAAATTACTTGGACTTAAAAGGACCTTATTTGCATTCTGTAATTTCTGAGCTGATAGCAGAAAAGGAATAATAAAATATAGGTAACCACTTCTCAGGTTACTTTTGTTTAAGAAAATGTAGAAAATATTTATACTAACTTAGGGTGGTCAACAAAGGCCAAAAATACTTGGCACATCTGAGAATCACTTTGAACTGAGCAGGAAAATATTCAGAATGATTAATTTTCTGTTAACACAGAATGCAGATAAGCTATTACTATTACTATTTTGGTAAGGTCTGTTTTTGCCAAAAAACATAGAGTCAATGCTTCTGAATCTATCTTGCAAATATAGTTGAACTTTCTGAATAGTTTTCTTATATTTTTTAAATATTGGAACATTTTCAACACACACACACATATATATATGCATATTTAAATAAACTTCACACTCAAAATTGCCAAAAAATGATAAATTGGTTTAAAAGTGGAAATGTTTTTGTTTGAACCAGAATGTCTTCATTTTGTACTATTTTGAAGGAAAAATTCCATTTGACCTGAATGATTTTCCTTCCAATTTTCAGTTTACATTATAAACTGAACTCAGTTGCTAGCATAGTTCTAGCCAAAAACAAAAGCATGCTCTTTGATGATGGCTTCTAATAACATGTACGACTAACGCACATTTGTGCAGGGGGAAAGCAGTACATTTCTGCAGTATTTCATTTGTTTTCTGCTGAAAACTCCAAGACTGTCAGATACGAACACTATGAATAGTAATATGCTACTTCAGTGGTGCTACAAATTTCATAATTTGTCTATAATTACCAATGCTTCAGTAGTACAAATCCTACCTTAAGTATTATTTTTGCTTTACTGGGCCATTTATGGTTAACAAATACTCCAACTGAAACAGGAACTACAAGAGCTACCAGTGAAATTCCTGTAAAAAAGAAAAGAGAAAAGATAAACCCAGATATTATGTAGAAGTTCATGATGGAAGCATGCACTGTGTGGAGCAGCCAGAGGTATAGAGCAAGCCTATGGTGGATGCTTCTGGTATGCACACCCCAACACATGCACACATTGTACCTGCACCTGCCCATTTGCTTTTCTACAGTCTGTTATCTTTGGCAACCTGTTGAAGTAATTGCCATTCAGCTGAGCTACATGTTCATTCACCTGAATCAAAAAGACAGACAGAAATTTGAGTGCACTAATCACCACTATCCTGTGATGTGTGTAGCTATATTAAATGTTCACTTTGTCTGCAGGTGTTTCACTACTGTATCAAATCAACAAATGGTTTAGAGCTTCTTTTGTTCTGGCCTTCTTTCTAGCATGTTTTTTGAAAGCATGAGCAATATATGTGATTTTTTTTTTTTTTTCCAGGACAATGGGAATTGAAATTGAAGAATATGAAAGTGACTCTGCTGGCTTTGTAAGATAACCACAACATGGAACTGAACGTGATAAGCACCAGGGTTACAGTTCTGCAAAGCACTGGAGCATATATTTCTAAATACTTTGACTATTTTCTCTTTGTAGCTGGATGAGATTTCTGACAGGAAGTCAAATGAAGCCACTCCTGGTGGTGTAGATTGCAGCTTTTCAATGAGACTCAGCAGTTTTAATCGCTTGCTTAATTATCCACATGTGCTTAAGTACTTTGCCAGATATGGCCTCAGCTCTTAGTTCTTTGCAGGATTGTGCCTTAAAGCTGTTACCGATGCTTTCATCCAGGGAAAGCAGCTATTTCTGTGTGAATTATTCTTATCCCAATACCACACAGGTTTCTAAACCATTTAAAAAGAAAAGAATTCACAAACTTGCGAAAAATAACTGTACTGTGTTTATTATGACATAAAATATTTGATCTGAAGAGCTATGGATAATTTAAAGTGATCTAGGAACCTAATTCCTACCAAAATCACTGAAAAGTAGGAAAATACATATTTTTAAAATGTCTGAGGTAATTTCTTTGTGCTTCTGCAGGATGGAGATAGTGTAAGAGTAGTTGTTACTAGAAGGAAAATAAAGGAGAGTTAGAAGGGAAAGTGTGGTTCACTTGACTTACCAATGCTGTCATAGGGGAGTACAATTGCATCAGAATCAGTCCACGTCTTAGTATAAACAAAAAGACAGAGTGGCATCATCCCCATTGCAAGAAGTGTGGAGCATGTTGTCATGCTGATGCTGTAAAGAAATTGGTTTAAATGACAATTTGTCTCATGCTAGTCTATACTCTCTTCATTTCTTTATTATGACTTAGCAGCTTATGAAAAGATATGTAAGAAATGCCTCTGGCTACAGTCAATTTATCCATATGTCAAGTTAGAAAAAAAGCTAAATGCAAAGAATGGTTCCTGCTAAAAAAATAAAAGAAAAAAAAAAAACACCACATAAATACCAACATGTTCTGCAGACATTAAAAAATAAATTTCAGTGCAAAGCACAGAACAGTAAATTTCAGTACAAACAAAGAAGCAGAGTGGCAACCATCAGGAAGGACTGTTGGCAAGTCTGCAAGCATGCTGACTGGCTGGCCTCTGAAAGCAACCTGAATCAACTGCCACTTTCCATTTCACTATCAGTTCTGGAGTTTTTTAGAATTTTGCTCCAAAGTCAAAATGAAAAAAAAAGAAAATCCCCCTCCCAAAAACACACTGAACATCCAGGAAGTACAACATAATAAATTTCCCTTTTCTGACTTTTCTTGCCCTAGGCCAAAGAGCAGGAACTGATAATTACACTTTGAAGCTGAGCGTAAGTATTGTTGCTTCATTGGTTTGTTCAGAGATGTTTCTGTGTTAAAATATAAAGTCCTAGAATCATAGAATCATAGAATCATAGAATCGTAGAATCGTAGAATGGTTTGGGTTGGAAGGGACATTTAACATCATCTAGTTCCAACCCCCTGCTATAGGCAGGGACATCTCCCTCTACATCCAGTTGCTCAAAGTCTCATCCAGCCTGGCCTTGAATGCTTCCAGGGTTGGAGCACCTTGCTGGGCAACCCGTTCCAAGTCTTGAATCTGTTGAGCCTGGTACTTTGTAGAAAAATGAGCATTCTCCTGGACAATGGAAGACAGAGTAAGACAGCAAAAAAGACAGATCGAAATGGAGGATATAGTCAGATTTTTCTGAGTAGAGTAAGTAAAATGTTGCCTTCAAATCATTCTCCTATGAGGTAAAAATAATGCCAGAAGGCTTTGCATGGGAGACTGGAAACTTCCTCACGAGCCTTCCTTCTGACAGCTCTTTGATGTAGTTTAACTTCATAACAGAAGCTACAAATACACAAACTGGATACATTCAGGGATATCTGGAAGAATTCATACAGAAACAACACAAATATCTGCTTTAGTTTTGGTTCCTTTGACTCTCTAATTCAATGTTGTTGGATATAATTAGGTCGGAGACTCTGGAAAGAGAATTCTTACACACAAAGGAAAAAGAGCAATGGTCTTTTACTCAGGTCTGATAAAGACCCAAGTTGATAAAGAGCTCATGTGTCTATATTTCCTACATATTCTCACAGTTTCTATATCTACATTCTGCTACAAAGGCTGCTCATTTTCTAACCCCAATCCCTGTTCTTGCAGAAGCTCCCGGAGGAGCTATGGAGGAGAGGAAACAGTAATGCAGAAGCAGTTGTTCTTCTGAGTTAGCAAGAAATGTCTAAAACAGGTGTCCCTACGGGAAGTTTCAGGGGATATCATCTGGGTCTGAACTACTAAGAAAAACCTCATACTTCACCTTTCAGTGATTACACAAATAGTAGAATATTAATTCTTGCTCTAGCTTATGGTTTAATTGCAGTAGGAAGGTATTGAAGCAGGACTGTAGATAATGCCGATGGCTTATTATATACAAAGATAAAATATCAGTTAAAAGCAAAACTTAGTCTGATATGCTGTGCTGGCTACAGAAACCAGTCAAGCTACTTGTACTGCTATTCTATCAAGACTAATGATACTTGCATCACTTGCTGTACCTCCTGTTTCCTCTAGTCCTTGAATTATTGTAAAAATGTAGTGATCAAAAGCCTTTGAAATCATAAGGTAAAGGCTTTTACCTGAAGAATAATATTTAGTATGTGTTTCCAATTTACCTCACCCTCTGCCATCATCATGAGTTATAAATTCTACTCATATTTATAGCATCATCAATTAGGATTCTGATTATACAGAGCTGACAAAGAACAGCTTAGCTCAGTGTATTCTTCCAAGGAAAGATTAGGATGGAATTTAAGACTTGTACTGGATGTCTTTTTATCTATGTTTTCTCAGACCCGCATTCATTGAAATAAATTGTCTTATAGCTTCTACTATCATAGGTTTTTCCTCCACAGTGAGGAAGCTGGTGATTAGCGGGGGCTGACTTCATACATAATTCGAACGCAGGCATTACATTAACACCTGTGTGTAACAGAAAAGTTCACTGTTTTCAAAGGATGGAAAAAATGTCTTATTAAAGCCACAAATATTAACATTCTTAGTCAATTTGCTCTGACTCCACATCTTTCTTACTTCTATTATTTTTTCCACTTCTAGTTCAGACTGGCATATGATAAATTGGATGAATGCTCCAATTTATGTTTCTCTGCAGGAAATGGAGAAATTATCTTGTTTATTTTAGAGCAGAGTAATCAGGATATGAAAAGAAAAAAAGATGGCTCATTTTTAAAAGCTGTTAGAATTAATGAACACCCCAAGAAATTTTCATCAGGAGTACGGTGCATTTCTACAGTGTGTTTGATGTCCAAGACCTCACTACGTATCCTACATATTTGTTTCTGAGTTTGGAGCACCCAGTCAGAGACCATCACACTTAGTCACAGCAGAGTTTTTCCATAGCATCTCACGTGCAGGGCTGCATTAATCAGTAGCTTTTTGCCTGTAAAAATTTCCTTCAGTTTGAAGACTTTGCAGAAGTTGCCAGGAGCACGTTAACTTGTCATAAGTAATTTTCCTTTGTATTAGTTCCCAAAGAGAAAGGCTACGCCTGTCTGTTCATTGTGCAGAACACAAAAGGAGGAAAGATGTTTTTTCACAGGTTGTTTCTTTTAAGAAACATTTTTTCAAAAAAGTGTTGCATAGCTGCTCTTTCATACATCGGACTATGTATGAAAAAATCATTATTATATTTTTTTACTGCCTAAGGTCTTGGAGAAATAAAATCACAAATATAAGTCTAACTTAGTCAACGAGTTCATAATCCTTAGTATGCTATTTTATGAAGAATTTGAGATCTTACAGCAAAGACATTCTCTATTATTCACAATTCTGTTATGATATCTTCCTAATGAGTTATCAAGAACTAATGATAATTCTAGTCTGCTTATATTTACTAATACAATAGTAACTAAATATCTCTACAAGAAGAAAGTTTCACCACACATCAATCAAGACAAGAAAAAAATCAGACAGTCCTTTTCAACACAAAATTTACAAAAAAACGTGAACATTTTAGAAAACAGTTGCTCTTACCTTAGGTCCATGTCACCATCCACCCAGTAGGCGATGATATTAGAGGCTGTGCCTCCTGGACAGCATCCCATGATCATCACCACAACAGCTTGAATAGGAAGCACATTAAAGACCAGTGACAGCAAGAAGGCTGTGAGAGGCATAATTCCAAACTGACAGAGGAAGCCCACAAAAATACCCCAGGGTCTTTTTATGTGGTGCAAAAATTTTTTAATTTCCACATTGCAACCCATGGAGAACATCACCAAAGCCAGCATGATTGTTAGAACAGTACTTAAAACTACACTCAAAGTCTGGTTAAAATTATCTTCTGGTAACACACAAGATGTACCACTGCAAATAGTAGCATTTTCTGGACAAGCTGTGGAGTTGTCCACAGCTGGACAAGCTGTGGAGTTGTCCAGCAACTTGGTGTTAAAATGCCGAGAAAGTAAGTAAGCCTGCATTTTGAAAAGCAGAACTGCTCAGAGTATCCGAGGCAAATTTTCAAGCCTGTGTAAATGACTGTTTGTCAGCCACTCTTTTTAAATGATCCAGGAAGCAATAAAGTTCAATAAATACCTGGACACTGTTACTATTCCTTAAGGGTTTGGCACAATGCTGATTCATATGGTTATAAAAGTTGTGCTTGCTTGATATGGTGGTAATCAATCATTTATTCATATGATAATGAGGAATCCCACATTGAGAGAATGTCTCTGTTAATATTTAAGGGTGTAAAGGAGGTTTGTGGAATAGCTAAGACACAAAATGAAAATCACAGGAGGAAAAGAAAGTTTAGATTTCATTCTTTGAATTTCTTGCATGCCTCCAGGAAAGCTGCTCGTGTGTGAACAATGTGTGCGTTACAAGGATGTGCAGGGCTGAAAGGAGTAACCTGGATAGAGGCCTGAGCAAGGATAAAAGATTTACCTTCAAAATACTGCACAAGGCTGCATTTTAGGAGATTGTAAGAACTTCTCTGCAACCGCAGCAGAGCAGTCAAAACCTCAGTCCTGTCCAGAGAGTGCTGCAGGCAAAGCTGTGAAGTGTCACATCATGCTATGTGCCACAGCATTCAGGTGCAAGGATCTACTGGATGCAGGGAGTCATACTGAATGGGATGTGATCCAAGTTTGACTATATCTCTGGTGTAATAGAAGTTATGACTGGTGTACAGTGACAACATTCTGATTGTGTTTAGTTGCACTATTTGTCATTCTTTCTCAGTTTCCACGTAGTCCTTAAAATGGTTAGGATCCTAGCCTTGAATTTTCCTGCAGTCTGCTAAAAGGTTGCCTGTATTTTTGGCTTTGGCTCATGCAGCACAACTGTAGGAGCTGACACCTGACACCCTGACATCTTCATGTCCCATAAGCCTATGTACCCCGTGACCAGGCGTCTATGTCTCACCTCACTCCTGGCCACATTTACCCCTGTGCTGAACCCGTCACTTGGGGAAGGGAGGGGAGGTGGCATGGGCTGGGCTTGCTGGGGCAGCAGGAGATTTATGGCTCTCCTAGCCACCTTTTGCCAGTTGCAGCTGGCACTCTCATGCCTTGCTCCAGCTTATGCTGGAAATGTTGCATATTGAGAGGAAGAGCACTGGGAGGTGAGAACAGAGGAGAATGGAGATTTGTTTGCTGGGCTGGGCACAGGGAGTGGGACTGTGGGGCTGGCATGTTGCTTTGAAGCTTGCTTGAGTCAGCTCTGGCCAAGCTGAAGCAGAACATGTCCCCTATGATGTGATCCCTGGTCTGAGGCCTGCTCCTGTGAGGGTTCTCCAGGGGCTGTGAGCTCCTTCAGACCCCATTAATTGCTGTCCCATGGGCTCCTCCATGACTGCATAGGGAGATCTGCTCCATGTGGTGCCTGTGGGCTGCAGGGGACAGCCTGCTCCTTTCTGGGAGGAAAGGGCCTCTCCTGTGATTCAGGGAGCTTCTGCTCTGTGCCTGGAGCACCTCCTGCCCTCCTTCTGCAATGACCTGGATGGGTGCAGGGCTGTTTTCTCACATTTCTCACTGCTCTCTCCCAGCTGCTGTTGTGCAGCAGTTTTCCTTTAATCTGCCCTCCCAGAGACACCAATAGTGTCATCCATAGCTCAGCTCTGGCAGCAGTGTGTCCTTTTGAACTAGCTGGAGCTGGCTTTGCTCTGACATGGGGCAGTGCTGGGCTCTGCTCACAGAGGCCACCCATACAGCCCCCTGCTACTAAAACCCTGCCATTTAAGTGCAATAGAATTGTGGCTATCATTCTGTTGGGTGGATGCTGTGTGAATATTCATGCAGTAAACAACACAGTAACATTGTGAGGTTAATATACCATAAAAGCAAAAAAAAAAAAAAAATCCACTAGAAAAGTTAGATGGGTTCTTCATGCCAAAACAACAGCAGTAACAGTAGCAACAAGAATAAAACACTGGGAAGCTGGGATATTTTACAGTTCTGACTGTGTAGCATACATGAATCCATCTCATGTTTTCCAGACCCTACAAGCCACTGGTCTCTTTCTTGTTTTACACCCTCGAGCTTCTCCAAAACGAGGAATATTTTAAAGGGAGGAATTATGATGCTTCTTTATCTATATCCAAGATATATAAATGTAGATCTTATATTAAAACCTAGTCCAAAATGTAAAATACAGCAGATGACTCCCAAACATCTTTAGTTTTCCATACTTAACTTTTTTTTGCTAGACTAATAAGCTAAGCCATAATTATCTTCAATAAACAAGATTGCAACTAAAAGTCTCAACATTTTGTGCCTAAACTCAGTGTGCAAAATGATAGGTATTACCTTATTTTATTTATTTTTTTACTTTTAATAGTGAACCATTGAGGGGAAATAATAGAAAGGGTTTCCCAGCATGCTTGCATGCACCTGTTTCTTTAAAAGTGGATCAGCTACATGGCTGTATCTCCTAAGTCACTGCTGGATGCCTGATGGGATAATGTCAGACTAGGTGGCAGCTGGCAAGCCCTGCCCTGTGATTAGTGCCACATCTGTGTGACTATGATATGTTTTATAGGACATAAAGCAAAATAATAAGGAGTAGATTAAAGGAAAAGAAGGCTCCAAGATCTCAGATAGGCAGGAAACTCATTCTCCTTCTTACACTCTCTTCCAAACAGAATGTTTTATTTTTTCAAAGCAAGTCTCTTAAAGGGCTTGTTAGCTTTTAAAAGTATGGCTGTAACAAATATTTTTTAATTTTTACCTTTTTTATTCTGCATCTACATCTGTACATGCATTTGAATTTGCTTCTCGTTGAAATTAAACTTCTTGATCAGTCCACCTTGAAATCTCCAGCAAGACTCAAGGCCCAGGGTGGCTTTCCTAAATGTATTAATTCATGTTATCTTGTGGGAACCAATGATGAGTGGTTTAGGAGAGGAGCTAGTGGGATATCACTTGCTATTACTCAGATGGAGCTCATTACATGAGCTTTCTTCTGCTACCTTCTCCTGCCAAGCATGTATCTGAACCCTGCAGTTGCTGGATGCTCCCACCCCCCAGAACCAGCACGGTGGGGGTGTCCCAGCTGTTGGTCTCCAGCCTCAGCTGAAAGATACGAATGCCAGCACTTTCTCTGCTAAGTTTGCTAATTCATCAACTCATTGCATAAAATCTTAGATCACAAAACATCCTTTCTGGAAAAAGAATTGAACCATTCTGAACTCAGTGTATTATTAGGCTGAAAACATGGATTTAGCACTGATGCTAGTACTTATTTTCAGAATTCTTCGTGTGTTGTTAGGGTACTGGAACTATATCCACAGACATTGAAATATTTACAGTCATGGTCAAAACTTGGTACGTTGTAGGGGGTACAATATTATCAAGTAGGAGGTTATCTGTTTCAGGAGTGCTGGATTTCAAACAGCCCTCTAGTTTATTTTGTTTTTTACAGTGTACTTTTGAGATTGGAAATGGATCAAAAAACGCAAATTTGTCTGCTCCTTGCAAGTTTTCCTTACACTGTCAGGGAAAGCAATATTTCAGCAGTGGCTGTCAGACACACAGCTTCTGTTTTGCTGCCTGTTTTCTACTTAGGTTCTGGTTCTTAGCTGCTGAGATGGACTATGTACCCTGTGAACACAGCTGGCAGCTTTTACCTATTCCTGTTGCACATGTTATTCAGTTATTTTAAGAATTTGGTGTCCAGGAAGAAAGCAACAGTGAATGTGATGGCATTTCAGTGATGATTAACATAACTCATTTGATTGTGGACGCTATCTCCCGGCATACCTCAGAAGTGGAAATAAACAACACTTAAATAGAGAAATATCAGCCCAGATGTATGTTTGTGATGTAGAACTACCAAATTGCTTTATTCTTAATTGCCTTCTTGAATTCTGTGATGGATTGATGAGGCTGCCAGCTTGTGCAAGTTACTTTAGTGGCACTTCAGCAAACATATCTAGGCAGATTAAGCCTGTACAGATCTGTCCCTCTGCCGACAATTATATAATTGATTTATCCATTAACTCAAGCAGTTATAAAACATGAATAGCAGTAAGTGCATACTAAGCTCTACATTGGGAGAGAAACAATTTAACAGTTTGTCTTTTATGGCTGTCTAGTGCTTATTTCTGTAATATTTCTCCTAATGAGACTTATGAATCTTTCCTGTCTGCTTAATTCAGATTCTGAGATACTTCTTAGTATATTTATGCTTTGGTTAGAAGAATCTTTTATTTCAGACAATTAATTTCCTAAAGGCAATTACCTGCTTCTTTATAGCACCTAAGAAAAAAGAGACAGCAGTTATATCTAATGTCAGTGATTTTGTTTGTAACTTTAAACTTTAGTATAAATATAGATGGAAGAGTTCTTTTTTGTTTGTCTGGAAAAAGTGGTACTACATAATTGAAAGTTTATAGAGGGCATTATGAAAAGGAAATCTGTATGGGATGGAAGGAGAGAAAATTCTTGACGTTAAAATGTATGTAGCTAAGATTAGCTTCCCAAGAAATACCGAAAAGTAACTGTGAAGTAGTCTTACTGACTCTTTGCTTTTACACATTTACATTTCAGCGTTGGTTGCATACATATGAATTCTGCCTGCCTGTTAGATTCCTGAGCTATGTCTGAAAGGAAACATCTGTGGCAGGGGCTCTCTTGCAGTTGGCTGTTGATGAATTCAGCTGGCAAACAACCTGATGTGTGAAGGGCTGGGATTACAGGCAAATGTGTTCTGCAGGTGTACTAGTTTTGAGAGATGCATCGTAGGCCCATGACTGAGCTGCTGTGTACACCAAATAGTTGGTTTGAGGGATGTGATTCTGCTAAAATTTGCCAAAACTCCAAAAGCTGTGTGTGTGAGGAGATTTATATAGGGCATTTGTATTCTCTGATACATTTCATTAGTGCCAATGTAAGTAATGACAGAAAATATGAACTTTAGTTACTGAGCAAGTTTCTGCCCTTAGTTTTTCCATTTAGAGCTAAATGGAAGAGGAAAGCCT